TTACCGGAACCTTCTGCAAACCCTACGGATTCTTCCTCGAGTTCTCCTTCCGAAGTCCTTCCGATGAGTCTTCGGCTGTGGCAGACGAGTCTTTCGACGACGAATGCCGCGGGTGAGGCTGCGACGACGACCGAAGCTGGCAACGCGGCGCTTCCCCGAATGACCCAAAACGCCGTCCTGGCAAGGTATCGCTGCCGTTGTCGGTGGTGCCATGGTGCTGTAAGATGTGTCGTTCTGCGCCTGGGTAAGAGTGGGGTGTAGTTTGCGTACTATAATATCGTCACGTTCGCAAATAGACAAGATAGCTATGATATCCGAGCAGCATCGCACAAACTCCCATTTCCTGGGCCTGGTTGCCGAATTGCACAGACAGCTCGAATCTCCCCTTCCTAACCTCTGCGTGTGCAGCAAAGACATGAAACACGCAGCTGCGTCTTTCGGAGTCACGACCATCTCTCGGGTATACCTTATAAGTAACGACAGCGAGTCGTGCTATACTTCCTGCTGGGCTTCTCGGTTTCATCTCAGTGCCAGTCGGAACATGCTCCATTATGATCACGAGAAAGACTGCCATGGTGCTCATTGCTTTCACGACTCTCTTCTTCGTCGGCCTCACTGGCTGGACCTACTGGCGGATCACCATGTCACCCCGGGCCATGGAGCGCGGTTATCAGCAGCAGCGGACAGACCGGCCTGACGAGATGCCGGGGGTTTAAGGGGCGATGGCTTGGCTGTTTTTTTTATTCTGCATCAACCGGAGAACTTGCGCGCGAGACTGGCGGGCGAGAGTCTTGATATTCAGATGGACCTGGACAAATGCTGGTGTTGTAGATGTCTAGGTCGCTGGAGCAACAGAAGAACTCTCTATAATACGTTCATTGTACCCTTCCATCATGCTGCGTGATTCTCACAGCGCTTCGTGGGCCATCATCGCCTCAGGGTGCAGCTGTTCGATCTGTCTGGTGTTTCTCGTCCCCTTCCTAGTCGTAAGAATAGACATACCATGCTGGATATCGCGGAAGCATGAAGGCTTGGGATGCAAGGCTCAGAAGGGAGACACGAAAATTTATCATTTGGAAGACGTATTACGAGAACGGACACGACAGATTGAAAGCGATTGCTGCCTGCGAGGACTGCCTGCGAGGACTGCCTGCGAGGACTGCCTGCGACGGCTTTGGCGATGAACAAGGAAAGCGTACGCTGGATTTTGAGTACACTCATAAAGCGCCGAGGGAGCATGAGTAGGACAGGCGCCACGGGAATGTAGGGAGGATGTCATAAGCCATGCCGAATGCGAAATGCTGCAAAACGCCGCCATATGAGAAGAAGACATGCATGATCATGGCATACCAACAGGACTCGACAACGTGGCTCGCTTCAGTAGCGCACACGATCCTCGCGCCCATCGAGCCAGCTTGTGCAATTGATGCAACGAACCGACTGCGCAGTCGTCAGTGATGATGCGAACGGGGGGGGGGGGGGCCGGAGCGTACCACTTCGGTGACGGGCTTCCTGGAGTACTTGCACTTCTTCGTATGCTTGAAGATAGGGTCGGTCGAAAAGAGCTGGTAGAAGTGGGCGAGGCCCCAGAGGGAGAGGCCCACACAGAAGAAGCTGACGAGTTGGTTGAAGAAAAGAACTATCAGAGATATCAGCAACAGAACGTCCACATCGAGCGCTTTCTATTTTGCACAATTCGCCAGGCAGCGGCGCCCTCATGGGACCGAACAATCTGTATAGAGCGTGGAGGAATGATGTACTGACCCATACGCCAAGACGACAGCACCGTCATCCTTTGCGCGTGCGAGTGTGGTGTAGCCGTCCTCGCGGTTGTAGTCGGGTCCGGGTTTGAGAACCGCAAACTTCTCCTCCATGTTGTGGTTGAGGGGGAAGATGACGGACAGCGGCGGCATGAGAATGTTGGCAACGAAAGAGTTGACGAGGCCTGTGAAGGCAGCGGCTAGGCTAAGGAAGGTGTGTGTGTGAATACAGATCCCCCGCGGTACAGACCATGCTGGCAGAGGGTCACGTCGGCACTCACATCAGACCGAAGGCTATTTCGAGGATGTTGCCCTGCATGGCGAAGTCAATGAAGCCGGACCACAGGCGGCGAGCCCTATCGCCGCCTCGGGACAGAAGGCTTTCCTCTTCATCGCTGTCGGCGAACGGAGGAGACGGCATGATGCAGATGAACACACTGCCGACGGCGGGATGTGTTTTGACGGTTGGGCGGTCTTTACAAGCACGTCCCGATGTCCAAGATCGGGGTGAGGGTGAGTAGAGACGAGACGAGGCAAGCTACGATGGTTTGGTTCTATTGGCGTTGGCACAAGGGGGCGGGACACGGCGCTGACGTCCGGGAGACCGGGAACAATGCAACTCCCTGTCGAGCGAAGCACGAGACAGGAACACTGCACACAGCGGGGGGGAAAAAGGCGCAAAGCTTGAGGCGGTCACGTTTGGGGCTGGTGAGGTTCAAAATGGGAAATGGGAGGCTGGAAGCCAGAGGCTGACAACTGGAAGCTGCTTTAAGATGAGGGTCCAGCTGTCTGTAGGTACCTACCTAGGCAGACAAGTGCTGTGACAAAAGATAAGGGGTCACGCGCTAGACGGATTTCATGCGGGGACGCGGTTCAGGGTCTCGGTGCTTGGTCTTTAGGGGATAGTCCAGCACCTGGAGTCAGGCGAGAACCACTGGGGGTCCATGCGAGAGCCACTGGAGGCCAGGCGAGAAGCCTGCGATTGACTGAATCAACAGCCACGAGTCGTTGAAGGAGTCGGCCCAAGCCACACGACTTCCACATGATTGGCTTGGCCAATCGTTTTGCTCCAGGTCCAGCCCCTTCACACGTTTATCAGCCACATCCTACTGGTATGACGGCATGTCAACAGACGTCATGGTCAAAACATCTCCCGCACGCGCCCGCGCCCTCGCCCACGCCGCCTCGTTGTCAATTTGGCCTAGCATTCTCCTGCCGTCTACTCCCCTCAAAGCACCATATTTCCAATTACGGATGAAATTTCTCAGCGTGCCAAATTCTGAGCACGTCAAACCTCGAAATGAGCGATGCCTCTTCCCTGATGTGGATGGACCTGTTGCTCTGCATGCGACTGGATCAAGATCTCCCCGGAAAGAAAACAATGACGTCCCAAATGGCACCCTACCTTGAACCCCTGCTAGGTACGTGTCAATCGACCGGCAGTGCAGTGAATCCAACCCCGTCTCTGAATCCATGTCTCGATCACCAGGTTGCCGCGTTTTCTTTGGTTGGCTAGCAAGCGACCAGGGGTGCATGATCTGCCTTTCTTACCCGTTTGCCAAGTTCTTTGAGACTCGTGAATCACCCTGGCCCTTGACCGGGTCGCCAGCTCAGGTCGGCAGGCTAAGGGATGGTAGTTGCATCATCGGCGAAGCCGTTTGGTGCTAAGCTTGCTCTAACCAAGACCTAAAATAGGTTCCTGTCTCGCTGGTGCCCCGTCTGGCATGTACTCGCCGTGTTGAACACTTACGATATACTCTTTTCCGTGCTCCTCTGGGCTTCCTCGCGATCAACCTCCCCTCCCTTATTCTGTGCCAGGGAGAACACTACTGGCAGCGACACCAGAACACGAAATACACGGCAAGGAACGATTACGACCGTTTCTTCAGCAAATCTGATCAAGTCGCCAAACAAGGCCTGCGTGATAGACAACCGCCAAGATGATGCGCTGTACAGTCATCCTGCCGTTCCTCCTCTCCGTGGCGGCTTTCGTCATATCCTTCCTCCTCCTCTTCGCTGGCCACAAGGAGGGCTTCATGGAGGACTATTCCATCATCAGGGTGCGTAGTTGCCATGCCGCCTTCGGGCGGACGACGCCCTGTAAGCTAACCAGCCTCTCCAGCTCAACACGTCCACTCTCGGATACGACGTGTTGTCCCGTGCCACGAGCGACGGCGACCAAGACCGCGGCGGCATCGGCGGCTTCATCGATGACCTCTCAGACGGTGTGACGGAATTCATCAACGACCTCGGAAACGACATTGTCGACCACTTTAGCGATGAACTCGGCATCTCTCAGTGGTACTCCATCCACCTGATGACCATGTGCAGCGGCGACTACGCCCCCAACGCCACCGATCCCGACGCCAAACACAACGTCACCAGCTGCACCAAGCAGAAGCCTGCCAGTACGTCGATGTTTTTGACTCTCGCCCAACCCTCTCCCTTACTGCTGGCCCAACGCGTTTTCCATGCTCCAAAGCTAACCACGGCCGCCCCAGACCGCGTCAACCTCACCGAGATTCTCGACCAGGAACTCGCGATCGGCCCCCTGAACCTCTCCCTCGCCGACATCAACTGGCCCGACGCCATCCAGGACCAGATCGACACGGTCAACAAGGCCCTCCTTGCCGTCTTCATCCTCTACGCCCTGGCCATCGGCTTCACGGGCCTCGCCATGCTCGGCGCCGTCGCCGCCTTCTTCCTCGACCCCCGCCGCAAGCTCGCCTCCCTGACCAACCTGCTCCTCACCCTGCTCGCCGCCATCGTCCTGCTCGCCGGCAGCATCGGCATCATGATCGGCAGCCGCAAGGGCGCCAGGGAGCTGAACAAGGTCGGCGAGGTCGTCGGCCTCGAGGCCGAGGCAGGTGGCGGCTTCATCGCCCTCTCGTGGGCCGCCTTTGCCGTCATGGCCGCCGCTGTCATGTACTGGGTTGCCATGTTCTGCCTCGGTAGGGTGCAGAAGAGGAGGGGGTACTCTGAGAAGCGGGGCGGCAGGTACTGAGACGAGTGTTGCTGCTCAGGTGTTTCTTTTTCCTTTGTGTAGTTGAGCTGATTCCGGTTCCTCGATGGCATCATATTGAAATGAATAGGGACGTGTCGCCGGCTAGCCTTTTTGTTATAGCTTTGTCAGCGGTTGAGCGAGACGTCTTGCACTTTGCGAGCCAAGGGGGGAGCCGTTCTGCTCTTTTGAATGGATAATGGCATCCGGTATCTGGCATACTAGGAATATACCTACAACTCACGACCCAGAAATGACCGATTTTCTTCTTCTTCTGGCGCAGTTGGATCCGTCACAAAGATTTGGAAGCCTTAAGAAACACACGTCTATCTTCCATGTATTTGTCATCCCCATGTCGCTGGCGAGGCAGTTAGCTCGGCTATCAACGGTGACATGTCATTATGATGTTACAGAACGTAGCAGCGAAGAGGACCTATCCAGTAAAGTACATCAGGGCATGTGGAAGCCCACGTCTATGTTCAGGCATGTCTTTCCATACCATCTCTTTCCACAGTAATGAACCGTCCCTTGCCAGCCCGCTTGCCCACGATCCGTTTCTCCACCTGCTCCGCGACAGCGAATGCCTTGGCCCGCGCTTCACGGTCTGCTTCGGGCGTATTCTCGCTTATCGGAAAACCATACCGGAGTCTCAGTGTCGTCATCTTGCCCCAGTGCCCCTCCCAGTCGATCCTATCACCGTCTTGGTCGTAAGTGAGCACAGAGTACCATGCCGAGCACCCGGTCAGGTCGAGGTACTCCAGTCCGTAGAGATGCTTGCTCAACCTGCGCAGCAGGATGATGGCCTCTGTCCAGTCGTCGTCCACGGTATGCGAGTAGGGCCCCGTGCCACTGTAGGGCACGTCGCGACCCTGCGCGCCAGCGATTGTCGAGAATTTGGCGTTCGGGGTGAGCGAGGGCTCAGGCCAGTAGGCCAGGCTGAGATGCGTGAGGGTCGGGATCTTGGCCGCCAGGGCAAGCAGTTGCTTTCCACGAAGCAGTGGGGGTGTTCGAGGGGCGCAAGGCGAAGCGACAGGTGTGTCAATTTGGGGAGGAGCCTGGCGGCAGAGACGGCGCGTCAGCCGTGTCCCAGGAGTCCTGCACAACCTCGACAGTGCGGCGAGCCGAGGGGGAAGAGCACGTCTGTCAGCTCGCGACGATAGACTGTGTGTGATGAGCGGACAAATCGAGAATAGTAGAAGGTCATTGTTGAGCTCGTTAACGGCCTCCGACACTAGAATTTGCATCCCTCCCTTCGTCATAGCATCCGCCCTGTGGTAGGACCAAGAGCCTGATATCGCTGGCTGTGACACCACGCTCCCCGTACGTGCCAATGTACGCGATCAGAGACGAGCGCAGACGACTGTGCAGGGAGCTCAGATAGTGCTGATTATAGACGCCCTGGAACTCCCACTCCAGAGCCATCTTCCTCAACAGCAGGTCTGTCATGGAGCTTCGAGCGGGCGCATATGTGCCGGGCAATTGGTGGAACTCTGCATGTACCGCATGATCGGTCGAGTGACCACCCAGCTGACGGGCGAGGTTGCTGCGCTGGACGCTCCAGCTCTGGGGAGCGCGAGGGCCGGGGGGCAGCCTCCTTCCGTTGGCATCATTCCTGAGCGGCCTCCTCGGTAAGGGTGAAGGGGTTTCTGGGATCTGGAGGATCTGTCGCAAGTTTGGGGGCAGGGTGATCGGGCCGCTGGACGATGTCGTAGACGCAAAGGCGGAGGAGGTAGGAGCCGAGGGGGGAGTGTGGTTGGACGAAGCTAGAGAAGATCGACGCAGGTCAGCCAGCAACTGGTTGACGCCTCTCGTCTGAGTCTCTGCCCAAGACACAGGTCTGGTTAGCGGATAATGGCCGTCTAAAGATGCTCAAAAGGACATGGCCGGTTGAGGTGAGGAGGGGTGCGGAGGAGAAAGAGGGGGGGGGGGAGGGAGAGCAAGAGGTACCTGGAGGGATGGGTCTGGAAGCGGATGCGCCGAGAGATGCCGGAGCGGTGGATTGCGGTTTTGCAAACTTGGCTTGGTGTTTCTTCTTAGGCATTGCCGGCGAGGAGGAGAGCGGCTGGACGAAGCTCGAAGCTGCTTGGATCAAGGCCAGCGGACACGGCAAGCCATGAGGTACTCTAAATGCAGAACCTCTTGTCGAGCCACGTGCCGTGGCAGGCGATGCCCGGGGCAGGCAGTGAGAAGGACGGGATGGTGTTCGTAGGATGAACAGAGAGTGTGACAACAGTCAGCCAGCGTCATCCGCAGGTGCTGACTGATGATCCCATTCGCATCCCGTCTTGAGCTGATGACTCCAACATGCTACCCCTCCTTCGGACCTTCCCTGAGGTGCACCCCCCCACCCCCCACTGGGGCCGCTGAGGCCGCTGAGGCCGCTGAGGCCACTGAGGCCGCCCTGGCGAGAGGCCAGACGCCCCACCACGTCAGGGGGTGTTGTGCAGGTAGTGAGGCGGGTGTCCCGTCGGGTCAGGGGCCTGTAGGGGCTGTCATCCGGTGGAAGGTACCTGTACCTACCTACCTAATGAGGGGCACCTAGGACCTAGGGCCTAGGCACGGAAGCTGCCACGAAGTGTGCCACCTCACTCACACACAAAAAAACAAACACCTGGTCCATGCACCCTGTCCACCTAGCCGGCGCTTTCACTCTGCGGGAGGGAGGGCGCGGGGTCCTACCCGTCCTCTTTCGAACGACATGCTGTTCTTGGAGCCCTTGACTCCCGTGGACTAGACCTACGCGGTAAGGCACAAATCGCGGCAAACTGGCGCCTTCATGGCTGTCCAGGCCGCCTCTTGTCTACATACATTTTTTCTTCGGCGTTGTGTTCGCTTCTTGCTTGCTGGCGCCCGACGACACCATTGCTTCGTGATTGAGTCTCCGCTCGCTCGAGGCTCAAAAGGGAGCGTTTCTGCTCAAGGCGGCCACGCGAGTCACAAGCCAGCAGCCGAGCTACCTTGTTCGTCAGCACGCCCGATTGCCAATCAACAGCGGGAAAGAGCTTGATGCGACATGGCAAGCCTGGGCCAGCTCACGCGTTATATCCAAGCCCGTTTGGTACTTCGATCTTACCTACACACGCCCGCCCGTCTTAACTTCATCAACTTGTTCGTCCCCAGGAACCAGTGGGTCTGGATCAATTATCCAGCTGACAGCCATAGCACGAAGGCTGATTTTGAGGCTGGGGACTTGACGTGGGCAAAGAGTTGTTTCCAAGGCTGCTGGTTGTGGATCCAGCTTGCCCTTCGGATTCCTTCTCCATTGGACTCGTAGCCAGTATTTCCAGACAACAATTTAGAGAAACACCCCATGCAGGCTATCAGCCGCTGCGATCCTTCGCATTGCAGGATCCGGCTTCATTGGACCTGCTCCCTCGGCCTACAATTGCTGACGCTGGCGGTGCCATTCGCTGCCCAAAATTAGCCCTCTTATTTTCGACGGATAGCGGCACCATTAGCCTTGGTGATGATTGGAGACACACATGTGCGTCCACGTCGGTCGAGAAGGGCACCCACCGAGGGGACGGGCTAGCCGGTCGTTAATCTTAGTTCACCACTCGGTGCGCAGCGAAGAAAGAAGGCCACTGAGCTGGGCGTTCAGGGGTAGGCCGAAGAGATGGCGTGACTCCTGTAAAAGCCAAATCTGGCTCTCATGACGCCCCTGGCGGGTGGCATGGCACACGCCCAGCCGTACAAGTGACGATTTTGTGTGTCAAATCCTGAAGATCTTGTTCAACGTTGCATGCCCACATCGCGTGGTCATTGGAAGTGCCCTTTGGGGTCTGAAACCAGATATGGGAAGAGCTGGCAAGTCTGTACAACTCACACGGTGTTTTCAATGATCCCCTTTGGTGCTTTTACAAAGTTGATCCTCGTCTCGGTCAAGGCGAATGGGCACTGGCTTTGGCACGTCGAAGCCATCGGGCCCGGAGATGGCCGACCATAGCAGAGACACCCTCCAAGTCAGTAGCTACCGCAAAGACGGACCGGCATGTGGTCTTGACTCCGCTGTGTGGCAGCCTTTGAGACCAGTTCTCTGGCGGCACCGCAGGACCATGGTCTGATTTCACATGGCCAGATTGCCGGCCGGGAGGAGTGAAGCCAGGTCATTTGGCGGGATGGGTTGGACAAGAAGGAGAGCCAAGTCCCCAATGCGGAAAGAGAAAGCGAACAGATCCGGAAATGTTCTGTTCTGACAGTTCGGCCCGATGCCCAAAAGTCACCGCAAGTATGGACCAGAATGGTCTCAACACCCCTTGCCGTGGCCTTCAAGAGCTCCATGCCGGTAGTTGAACAGCCGAAACCTGTAAAAGTCGTGATCGTCCCGAGGGCTTGGTTCCAGGTGTGCCTTTCATTTCCACGAGTCTCGAATGAGTACGCAGATCTGAAATTTGTGGTCGTCAATGGTTGACAGCAAGAAGTGTGCACTTTGGTGGGTCTAGAATTGAGGTGCGCCTCATCTGGCCGTCAAAGCGGTATTCGTCCACAGTCTCTATGTCTATGCCATGAGGCGAAGATATTTCTGGCAGGTCCAGGGTTTCATGGTGAGCCTAGTCGTCGAAGGAGGCCAGTTTCGCGTGAGATACTGTCCGCCCTACCACTAGTGTGATTCGCCCTTCAGCAAAGGCTTGCTCACTTGAGTCAAATGGTACGACTCGGACCGATCCGTCTGCCTCTGGACGATTGCGCAAGCTCGCTGAATCCCAATATACGTACCTACCTGGAGGCCAACTAGGCAGCAGAAAGGTAGCGTGGCCGACAGGTAGACCCTCAAACCACCAAGTTCCATATAACACATAATCGGGAGCTCGTGGCCATGGCATCTCCTCTTTTATTCGACGGGGCAAAATTTGAGGTGATAGCCTAACCTACTATTTCTCATCTCGGAAAAAAGCCACAGCAAAATGAACAATGAAAAAAAGCGAGCCTAGTTGTAAAGGGTGCGAATCAACGTTCTACTTGTGGTTGAGATACGCCAGTAGCTAAGCGTCAAGTTGACCCGGAGAACCGTACCTCAAGGTATACTGAGTACATTACATACCTACCTACCTTGGATAAAAAATGCCAGCCTTGGTAGCCATAACTCTCTTCTGTAAAGCCCGCGATACTAAGTGTTTTCAAGGTCAGTATGTAACCATCTAAAAATAAAAGGCACAGGTTGCGGCCAGAGAGCACAGGTGAAGAAAAGCCAAAATGGCTGCCGCCTGTGATGATCCTGTGGAAAGAGCCACCTGACAGCCCCCTTCCTCTAGCCTCCGCTGAGTTGTGTCAAAGGCGCCAAGGCATTCATGGGTCCCCGATGTCGCTTTCCAGGTCGATCAAGGTCCACTCAGCGCGAAACTTTCCCTTCCCTTTCCAGGCAACCATCGACCTAGGAACGTGGTATGTTCACTCAACTGTGAGCATCTTGGACCCTGTTCCGACAATCATAATGTTCGGCACCAAACGTTCGGCTCGGGCCTTGAAAGTATCCAGAACATGGCCGCAATATTCAGCCACGGGTCCCGCCGCTTACCGACAATCAATCTAATAAGGTTACCATGAACTACCTATCCACGGTGCCATGGGTAGGTAGGTGCTGGACAACCCCGATGTCGTTATGGTCCGGCAAACACAGTTGGTACCACCCACCTTCTCGAACCACCTGAGCGCTCAGTGCGGCTCCACGTACAGCCTCCTGCGTGTCCGCTGAAGACCAAACCAACATGGGCGCCCACGTCCATGTGTCTTGCCCGCTTGAGCATCGGCAAGCCAAGTCTCCACGGACCCGACATTTGCAGTCAAGCAATCCCCAAAAGATGTCGTCGTCTCTCCAGTCCATGGACTTGATGACGTATCACCTGGTACAAGATCCGAGGCAATCGGTGAATGCAGAAGCATGGGAACGTCGCAACCATGGTCTTCCTCCTGAGAGCCTTGCCGTCGCTTCACCCATGGCTTGAACCGAGAAAAGAAACATATTTTTCAGGGGCATACCATCAGTTATGGTGCTATTACGGACAGGGGACTAACGAAGCAGTCCACAGGGCGACTCAATTATGCCCTTAGTCTCGATTCATCAACGTGTCTAACAATGAACTGGAAGAGATTACGGCCCGATACGACATCCTGGATATCCCATATCGGTATTGCCCTCTTGCATTATGATCCGTTTTACTTTACATGCAACATTGGCCTTGCTCCAAGCGAGTATGTTGGTAGCTCGCTTCACTCCACGGTGTCAATGACCCAGCCATTGTAGCCTCCTTCCTGACTACAATGGAGTGACTGATTTCTGGCTGATATCTGGCCGTTCCAATGATGATCTAGACCTATTATGTCTGCAGCAGCCGAACTGATATCAGGCATGCATACGGTATGCTGCTCCAGTTTTGACGAATACGTATACATTGTCTACATTCATGATTCGCGAAAAAGCTCATTCTAATCCACGGGAGCCTGCGGCGAAGACACTGCAGCAGATGCATCGTACCCGCCCGGCCGCCTTTCTCGACACGAAAAAGTGCAGAACTCTTCCATGTTCCTGACAAGGAACAACAGACTGCCCTGTGCGTTGGGATGACCTTGTATGGCCGAAGACCCAGACTACTGGTGCAGCCAAGACTGCTCAACATTCTCGGATAGTCGCTTTTGCCATTGGCCCACTTAGCAGGAAGACAGGCAGATCAACCGATCAGTCGCTTGTTCAAGAGATGTTCCCTGTCTGGAAGTGCCCTCAAATCTCTCCCCGAGGTTTGTTTCTAACAGCGGGCACTCAGCTGGGCCAGTCTTGTTCGCTGGGTTGCCCTACCTTTGAAGCTGTGTTGCTTCACACCTCTTCATATCAGACGACCATCCCGGGCCTACTTCCAGTCCCGAACGACTTGAGTGCTTTAGAAGATCGGCGGAGAGAGACGCTGAATTTCTAGTTCTACGATCAGATTGAGGATCTCGTTGATTGTCTCCCAGACATAGGTTAGGGATTTCACCACCCGGAATCGGTGAAGCTGCTCGGTGGCTGGTGCCTCCTGAACTACCCTCCCCGGTCCCTTTTCGGTATCTTCCGTCGAGGTCCACTTCTTCGTAGAAAAGATCAGCAGATATTTGTAGACATGGCCTAGAACCAGTCAGCTGCCTGAGACCTCTGGGAGAATTCTAGGCGTATCAGACGACAACATAAGCCTACGCCATAACGTCAATCACTCTCCGCATGTTGCAGTGACGTTGGGAACTCATAGCCGAATCACAGCATCAGGCAATCCCCAGCTCAGGTGGCGGAGTGTACCAGCTAACCATCCATGAATCTTGGCTCCACGGCTGCAGCTTGCCGCAATAGACCATTCGTTAGCCAGGGAAGATCCTTCCCAATCAAATCATGTTTGTGGCGTTTCAATTTGGTTTCTGGGTGACGGGTAGCTGCAGATTTGATGCATGGAAGGGTGAGGATCAGGAGAATGCTTCCGGTGAACCAGCCGGGCTGACGAGGGCCATTGTGTTCTGCCCATGAAGCAGACCTCGATGATACCCGAGTGAAAAGCCGAAAGAGCACGGAAGCAGTGCTCAATCTAAGACAGTCTGGAAAAATGACAGACATCAGGTATTAATGAAGGAGCATCTTTCAAAGTACAGTAACATAGCCTCTACAACCTACCTACGGCTATGTCTTGTCGTCGAGAGGTTGCACCGCCAGGCACGAAATCGGTGACAGAGAGTTGCTCGCGTTGAATAATGGCCATATGCGACGATATCACTAACAATGACCAGATGAAGGGTTAGCTCTTTCACCACCCGTAAGGTTCCGGAGAAGAAAGGGGAGGGGGGGTGTAGTCCTTCCTGAACCACCAGGATCTGGGCGGACAGCAAGCAGCCTTCCACCCCTTCTGACTACATAAACGGACCCTGTCGTCAACCTGGGAGATAGAGAGGAACGGGAAATTCATCTCCCCACATTTGGACGTCTCGGTTTTCTTGTCTCAGACTTTGCGCAACCACCCTTCTCATGCGCGCAGAGGCCTTGGGATCAGAGGACTGACCGACGTCCTCCGAGCTGACCTTTTCGCCCTCCAAGGAGGCCCTGAAGTATTTGGATTTAACCTATGTGTGTTATCTAGCCACTTGTTGACATCCTGTGCCACCGGTTTCGAAAGTTACGTATTTGAGCTTCTCAGCCCTCGACCATACCGTCTGTACGATCAAAGCCACATCTGGGTTGGTGGTATGTATATATCACCCTCGCATCCAGATCCTGCACTTCTCGTCCTCTTGTGAGAATATTCGGCGCCTATCTTCTCAAATATTCTACCTACAGATATTTGCGTATTATACTGAGAGCTCGATATCTCTACTACTTCCGTCCCGAGATTCGACTTCACAAAACGCGGCGAATCTCTTTCTCCCCGTCACAGAGACGCAGACGAGCCCTTCATCGACGTTCTCCCTATTAAATACGGGGACGCCTATTCTTAATCTGTGAGCTTCTTCTTCTTCATCTGGCCCTTTCCAACATTGAACACCGTGGCATGGATCACCCGCCAGCTCTTCAGACTTGGATCTTGTCATCACTCACATTTGGGACCGAGCTTTCTGAACTCCCATTTGCTCACCCACACTCGAGTTATAAACCTCATGGAGGTCTATATGGGTAGACTGATTCCTATCAACGACTAGGAACTACGATCGACCAAGAAGCTGCTAGTCAGTGCTATACAGCTTCTTGAAACCCCAGATCCTCGGCAGCCAGAAGGTGCCCAGCATTGGAGCAAGTTTTTGCTTTCAACTAGTGCTACTGAAGGCAGGTTGTTATATTTGTTAATTCATCCTGCCATCTTCATTGAATCTATCATTTGCTGAACCGGGGAGCATGTCGCTTTTTGGGAGGGTCACTCTCTTGGTTTCAAATGGACTGACTGGGCAGCAAGTTTACAGTCTCGAAATCTACCTGTTTTCCAAGCAACCTATCACGTCGATAACAGATGACAGGGGCATTTTTGGAGGTCAGATCTAGCCCTGAGGCAGCTGACACTGCAAGCACTGACTGCTGTATAGATTGTCAAAGACGTTGGAAACGAGCATCACGGCACCGACTCAAACTTCTACTGCAGTGGCATACGATTCGGTGTGCCAGTAAACAGCGGTATGAGCCATAAGGTAGGCCTGATTTCTTCTGATACTTAATTAGTCCCACGGCCGTCGGCTGTGCTGGATTACGAGATCCTTCATGAAAGACGGGCTGAGGGCCAGGGCCTGAATGTCGCAGCCGCTTCACACAAGATTGCCAAGTCGGCCGACCCAACAAAACACCAGCATTCAAAGATACCGCTACAACGACATGAGCCATGGAAAACATGTGGAAAGAATCGGATTACACTGGCTAGTGCGGATTGAAAAAGGGTTGGTATCTTGTCGTGGGAGGTGAGTCGCTCAGCTTTTCTTCATCCTTCAAAGTCGCAATTCGCGATTGCGGAAGGCTTCGTGAAATTGTGGCAGAGATCCTGGCTTTCTTTCGCGACCCAGGGCAGACTTACTTTTGGGTGGTGGGCCAGACACCAGAGATGCAGCCTTCTGTGGTTCCAAAATGGCTTTGCTCAGACTGTCTCTTCTCCCCAATCATCTTCTTTGCCCAGAAACGGTACTGCAAGAAAGGGCAGCCTGCCCTTCAGAATGCACTCTCGTGTCTGTGCCTGGTATAACAGGTCTGCTCTCGGGCACTGGTTCTATGTACCAGTGGGGGACTGCGAGGTACTCAGTTGTACTCTTTCGCCCCGAGGACACAGTGCTCCGGCACTAGTTTGTCAGGCCGCCAGCCTGCTTGAACAATGCCCTCACGCTCAGCCTTCCCACCGCCCTCTGACAGTGCTTCAAATTCTGGCTCGAGTCCATTATTGTACCGCCAGGAGGAGTCTCGCTAACAAACGGATCGTTGTGATTCACAGGTCACAGCCAGCTTGCAACGGACTATAAGCGCACGACCCCTGCCGGGCTGACCCAGGTTCACCAGAGGCTGGACCATAGCTCCTTGCAGAATAATGCTTGCATGATCGCAATCTCCACGGATCTAGGTATCTGAATTGAGAAGGCTGACCTGTGTTGTTGCTATAGACGGACTACGAGCCATCTCCAGCTCCTCCTGGGCTGGAATATCTGGATATACAGCACCAAGGACATAGTATACCGTAAGTTCCGAACTCCTATTGGTTTTGTTCGATAACCAGCCTGGCCGGCGGTAAGAGAATGACGGGAGCCACTGGATTATTCCTTGCTGTCGGCTTAAAAGCCCACCATCTGCACGTCTGCTCCCTTTCTCACCCCCCCCGGACACAACTTCACTGGCATAAGCCCGGAACCCCAACAACATCCTGACATCTTTTGCCCTACATCTCCATTGTCCCCTTGGTGTTCCCCGACGAGGCGGCGAACCTACAACCCCCGATCCTAGTCACGCAAGCGGCCGATATGCGAACTCATGGGTAGCTGCTTTGGCACCGGGTGTGCTACCTAGATTCTGGACACTGAGGTCTCTGTCATTCCGCGATGTGTGGGCTCCCAGCTTCCGACCCTGTATACCGTGTCCCTGTGCAACTCCAGTGCTGGCAGTAGGACGAGTCGGTTGCACCGACACTGTGTCTTGCATGGGGTCGCAGTACAACATTCACTGTCCCAACCCTTCAACCTTCCATGCCTGCAGCGAGGATCTAGCTGAGGGCAGCCCAGCTGACTGGTAATAGATACGACCACAATACCAATGCTGCTTCTCTGTCAATAGACGGCCCAACTCAACCGGCGCCTGGACTGATAAATCTTTTTCATCCGCCAGTCTTGAACACAACAACACCATATTCCCCAGACGGGGGCGCTTTCTACACGTCCACCTCTAACATATACCATACCCTCGACGTCCGACCTCGCTTGGGATCGAAGTAGGTCTTGCTATGAGCTTTGGTCACTTTGAACCACTGTCCTTGGCTCCAGCTTGTGCGATCAATGCTTGCTAACCGACACAAAGCATCGGCAATCCTCTCGGCTCGTCCCTTGGCCCTAGGACGACGGCATTGCCGCACCTTGGGACCCAGATCAGCACTCGAGACCAGTATTCGACAGCCACTCCGACCTTCAAAAGGCCGACTGAGCATTTGTCGAGATCTCCTTCCTTTACAGCCTCTGTAAACAGACGACACCCTCTGTCGCCGACACCCAGCCCCATCACCAATTTTACGAATGCCGTTAGAATGGATCAATACTCTTCGAAGACCTCGGCCAGCGTGCCACCTCTGAGTTCAATCACCACTTTGGGCAATCTCTCGTACGCCGATGCGTCGTCAGCGACGGGGACACTACCCGTTAAGATAGAGATTCAGGGCAACATCGACAAGGGCTTCTTCCAGTCTGATTGCGAATGGACGTGCTACAGGCGTAATTACTTCTCTTGTATCTGTTCTTACAGCCTGTCACCATACTATCCTTCCCAGTCTTTGCAATTTCAGCAACTCGGCTCCAAGCAGCCACTCAATGTCTTCGGATTTGCCATGTCGATTTCGGCGGTCGTTGCCGATAATGACAGCCACACCATTGAACTTGTTCAGCATACACCGAAAAGAGACAAGGGGCCTATTGCGAAGCCTGATAAGGTTCGTCTCCTGCCAAAACCGCTGCAGCCTGTTCACCATCCTCTCGGGCTGTACGCACATGATTCCGGAATGGGAGGACCATCAAGAATGGCGTATCCGGATGCTTTCAGCGGCGGCCATCATGCAGGCGATGCATACCAGAACGAGCATACCTTCGAGAGAATCCAGTTCAAGCAGGCCACGGCGAATAATGGGAAAAGACGAGCTGCGCAGCAGTACTACCACCTCGTCATTGAGCTCTGGGCAGATGTCGGCGCACAAGCAGCCGAGAAATTCGTCAGGGTTGCTTATCGGAAGTCAGCAAAGATGATCGTGCGGGGCCGGTCCCCCGGGCATTACCAAGGAGAAAGACGTGGAAGCACGAGCAGTGGACCGGGCGGTTCTGGTGGAAGCATGGGTGGGTTCAGTGGCGGAACGATGATTCCTCCCGAATTCCCTCCTTCCGGGCCGTCGATGGGCCCAGTATACGGTCATCATTTTGAACCGAGGGGAGGGATGAGCGGGTTTGGACCAGCACGCCATCACCATGAAATGCGTACGAGCCCATGATCCCCCATGACGATATCAAGCCCCTCGACACAACAAAGGGATACCAGTATTACCCAGGACCGATGTATGAGGGGCCGCACGGCGGACAAGGGTGGCATCGACGTGTTCCACCCACACCGGAATGGGCATGACGGCGCCCTGCCCCATATGGCAGCCAGCCTCGAGCCACCGCATGACAGATTCAAGAGGGATCCCGAGGCGGACATCCTATCGGGTCGATTTATGCCTGGGCCGCTCGCAGTCAGCAACCGCTGTAACACATATGAAGGCAAAAACACCTCCACAGGCTACTATCCTACGGCAGTGCCACCAAACAACATCAACATTGCCAATATCACTTAGTTTGCTGGTCGGTCGTCTCACGATACCGGGTTTCGGTACAAGATAGCGGCATACGTCGATCAGCACAATCTTCAAGACAACTGAAGGGCCCGAATGCCGCACAAGAAGACAATGGAATATGGGTATGGCTGGCGTTTGGGCGTCACTTGTGGCTTCGAATCACGGTGGAAGAAAAAGGAAGGAAAGACCTGTCACAACATTGGCTGGGATGACACCAAGACAGGCAAGAACTTCTCTTAATCTCGAGACACGGTGGGCTGGCAGGAACGGCTTCAGAGGAGATTTGGACGCGAAAACTGAAACGAAGTAACGGGACAACGAGCGAAGAATATCAAGAGAGTGAATACCCGGGGTGCGCTGGTTTTATATTTCTTTATCCGTCACTCGCTCTTCCAAAAGTAGAGTCACTCTATGTCGCCATCTCTTCTAGCGTTTCTGGTTTCTTCCTCTGATTCTCGATAGTTGAACATGGACAGACAGTCGGTGTGAACAAGGAATTGGTGCACTGGGAGAGGACGGGGATGTACGAGGGATGGTGACAAGTGGGTGGGCCACGAGCACGAACAAGATGGGTCGGCGGACAACGGATAGGAGCCACGCACCGAGGCGCATTAGCAGGGCAATGCCGGTGTATGGTATGTTTCGATCTCGGGCCAGGAACGAACGTTTTGCTCTTCTCCTAACAACGAACCACTGACTTTGCCATTTTCTGTTGCATCGGCTCACATACATGGGAAATTTCGATCACGATGTCGTTGCGGCAAGTGTCCCACGCTGTGGGGCGTAGCCAGTCTAAACGACTCGCGTCGGGCACGACAGGCAAGCTTTCGGGCCCGAAGACGCTAGATGGGAAGCGGAGGGCCTTCCTCCTCCATCGAGAGGGGGGGACGGTATGTGCAGGCGGCACCGGGTGCGATTTGCCCTCGCAGCTCAAACGAAGGGCTTCACCTCTCCTTCCTCCGGCGAAACGATTCAGTGAGACATTGCCCTGGTTGCTCTCGAAAGCGATGGCAGATTTCAGCCGTGACGCCCCCCGAACTGGAAGTCGGGCTCTCAGCCGGCCACGCCAATACGCCTGTGGCCACTGTGCCCTCCAGCCTGGGTTTGAGAGACTGACAGTTCCCTGGGCGATGGCCTAGAGTCGCTGGCTCGCTTGCTTCTCGCTGCGAGACCCGGTAGCTGTCCCGAGGGCTTGCAACTACAGGTCGCATACATCCGTGACAGGGGGTGAGGCATCGCAGCGAGCACCCATTCGGTCAGACAACGACCCTGGGCGATTGTGCCCGGTGATCTCTGAGTCGAATCAAGCCGCAATACGTAGCGGGAGAAGCCATAACACGCAGAAGACATTGCTCACGCATACTCACACCTCATCAGATGACTTTGGAAGGCCGCAAAGGAGAAATACGGGCGGGACTGCAGGATGTTCAATTAAGGTTTTCGCACTTGTCAAAATCCGGGCGCGGCTCCGGATTGACTCGGAGCATTTTGACTCAGAGCTCTCACATCACTCGATGATCGATGATCGATGACTGCCTGAGCGGATGATCATAAGTGGAGGAAGAGGAACGGGAAAGGGGAGGGTCCACTTGAGGGAAGGAGCATCATCCTCGGGAGGGAGGAGGCAAGAGTTGGGCAAAAACGAGGCATCGTGTAGCAGGCGACAGGAAGAAGGCACAGCAAGTGATCAGAACAAAGGCGAGACGGGAAAGAGGGACAGCACTGTGGCCTGTGACTGCCCTAGCAGCTGTCTTGGTCAATGCCTCTACAGAGCGGACACGCTTGCCTAGAAAACTCGATGGCGTGGTGGCTAGGCCTTGGAAGCCAGGCCCAAGAGCGCTATTTTGGGCCTTCTCTGGCTGCCCGTGAGGTGGTCGCGCCCGTCCCTTACTTCCCCGTCGCCGCAGGCCCAGCGTGACCAGGCCTTCCTGACCAAGTGGCAGGCTACCCCCACTCACAGCACGCACCTTCTCGACCTTCTTTAGCCTTCCACTGTTCTTTTGCACTTACCTTACCTGACCAGGTCCCTACCTCAGCTAGGTCCAAGCCGCGAGATACATTGCCCAGCCTTCCCACACACAAGCCGGGTGCACAATACTCACACGCACGAGGGGAGCACCTGACCTTAGGCGTGAGACCATATCCTCAAATGAACTCTGGCCCATCACGGTCCCTCGCATGCCAAAATCATCAATAATAAGGGAAGCAGGCGAATCCCAATGTAGGGCCAGACCGAAGCCCAACAGATAAATGAGAGGCGTGCGTCAACCCTCTCAAGTCGTCCCGAATGGAAGAGGCTCGTGCTGACGGTCCAGCCCGACTCTCCCGCTGTCAGGAACCTCAGAAGAACCACCAAGTACCTTTCCGTACCTCCATACCCTCGTCTCTGGCCTCGCCTCAGGCAAAAGACGTGCCATGGCCCCCAACGATTTCGTCTCGTTCGCAGCGCATGTAACCCCTGTCGCCCTAAAGTCCAGCTCCATCGTCCCTGGACCACCGGTCACGCGTCGGAATCTACGACGACAGACACGGCGCACTACTTGAGGGTTTCTCCGCCTAGCTGCTCGGAAGTCACCACAGCATCGTGAGTGTCGTGGCCTGCATCAACACCACCGAGTCTCGTCAGCCAGCGCCTCTGTAACCTTTGTCGGGCGAAATAGCTCGGTCGGCTTGCTTTTTCTTCTTTTCAAACACGGACATCCTGCACACGGACCCACTCAACGTCGAGTGCTGTATTCGTCAGTGACCCCAGTAGACTGCGTCAGTGGCACGCCTGACAGAAACATCGTTCCGCACGCGACAATCCTCGGGCGTCCGTTTCACGAACCGTCATTGCTCAGCCTTACACGGTTACGTCTTCTCCAATCCTGCTGTCTCAGCTATATGGCCAGCCCATTAGCCATCCCCCATCTCTCGGCATGTCTCACCGCATGCCAACCAACCAACCTTTGGCACCTTATGATGCAAGTGTGCCTGCTGCCATCGCGCGTGAGAAAGTGCGGAACGCAGACGTGGACCTTTATTCGCCTTCAACCCAACAGATCCATTGTCCACATGGGTAACCAACACTGGCACTCTCGTCCATGCCGACCGCCCGGGACATCGTCGCTCACGGCCTGCATCTCCTCTTGCCTCTGTGGCCCAATCGGAAGAATCCTGTGGCGACAAGCTAGCCAGACGCCCCCTAGAGCCCACCCCGTCGCCGGCGGTGTGGAGGGCTGCTCATCCACCTGGACCGTGCAAAAGCTGACTGGTTGGCCGTACTGACCTTCACAGGCACAGTCGGAACAAGGTGAATACGCCTCATAGACTCGCCATGGCCAGCCGTGCTTCCGATAACCGTCACAACCATGGCGTTGTGGCTTGTCCGATCGGGAGCCGCTACGCATTGGGATTGGCTCCATGATCCCAGCATGTGCAGCACCGTGCTAGACAGCACCACGCAGCAGAAACAATGCAGGCCGGGGAAAGGCATCGCCCTCACCAGGACAACACGAGCACATGCGTTTGATTTGGGACTGGGCCCGAGACCACGCACATCAACGCCTCGCGACTCCTCCCACCCATGCCACTTACAAAGGCCTTGGCAACGTCAAAGGCTCACCTGGACCTGACGCCAGTGTTTCGAGCTGGTCAACAAGACCTATGGCCTACACCGGTCTGGCGTTGCCGCGGGGTCCTCGCCCCCTGACTGGGAGTCCTTTTTTTGCTTGTCGAAACCGGTGTGGCGAGCGTGTGGACGTGGAGACACGCTGCTACTGCGATGGCCCTCCCACACCTCCATGTCCCAGAGCTCATGCAAGCGTTGTGTGCATCGATAGCCGGGGTAGGCACAGTGCAACGGCTGCCGGGCGCCATACAAAGACTCTCCTACGTTCACCGGTCCCAGCTGCTCGAGACTTTGCTAAGCCTTTGACCATGGGCCCTATGCCAGCGTCAGGCCAACAGAACCAGCCAGGGCGCCTTGATGCCATGATGACTGAGCGTTGTGGGTGACCAGAAGAGGTTGTCAGCGAGCCTGCTGGTGTAACCACCCAACATCCGGTCGGTCTGGGCGATCTGCCTTGCAGGAGCTGATCAGCGAAGCCAAGTCGGGTGCTGACTTGCTCCTCTGCCGTCGGCTGCCTGCCGTGCTGAAGGCGGGCGAAAGATATCCAGTGTTCTACTCCTTACCCGCCTCATTTACAAAGCCTGGGATGATGACCGGGCCAATGGCTCACTAACTCACACAAAGCAATGTAACCCACGGAGGCCCACTTGTTGTGCTTGACGTCGCCTTCGCCATGACCATGTGGGATCCTTGGGGACGACCCAAGGTGCATCTGGACTGGAGCAACCATGAGGGCCACTTGGCAACCTTCTCGCACATGTTTTGTCGAATTCTGCTGAAGGCGTAAACAAATTGGATGATCTGCATATCTCGTATCTCGCCATCTTTCAGCTTCAAAACCAGTAGGGCATGACCGAATGATCAAAAGGCCCAACCTGACAGACATGCTCAGGCTTTAGCAGGTCGAGACCTATAATGCGACAGCCCAAGACCGGGTTCCTACCGGAATGTGCTTCGGCACCTAGGTGGCCTGTCGTACAGGAAGCGCCGCGCCCGTCCACGAGAATGACTCTGCCAATGACGGAAGCCGGCGAAAGGAGGGCCGTTCAAGGGGCAGCACTAGCAACACGGTAGTGCGGCAGCACAGCATGTGGCCTTGACGGGTTGGAGCAGTGTACAGTCCGGCAGGCAAGGATCTTGCGGTTTTGGGGATGAAGTCGCACGGGGAAAAGCCACCAAGATCTTGCTGGGACGCCGTCGCACGAGTGGTTTTCTTTTTACCGTTTCCGCTTTTGTTCTTGGAACTTGAAACCAGTAGCAGGCATCGCTGTGTAATCCTTACCTTTGAGCGAGGGCGGCTGTGACCATCTGACATTCGTCGGATTCCAGCGATGGCATTCGGAGCATGCTCGACCCGAGAACGTCGAACTGGACTTGAGTCGGAATTCTCTGAGGCATTCGAGAGTTCGCAGTCCTCGGATGCGGTCTAAGATGCATAGTATAGGATCGCAAAAGATTCATTGCCGACAGTACTGGTTAGTGGCCTGTTCTGTGATGAGTCAAAACTGAGTGTGACCTGGCTTCGGACCTGAACTATACTCGAGGCGCTCCTTCGACAGACACGGAGGGGGCTTGCCCTGACGGCGTTGCGAGGCAGTTCGACTTGACACGGTTGAAATGTGGTAATTGATTGAACCTTTACCACCAGGTATAAAAGTCTTTCTATGATACATGTGTCGGCCGCACTCTCTCTATGTGCAGATGCGACCTCATCTCCTTCGAAAGATAGCATCCGACATTCTTACGACCTGGCACATCTCGACAGCGTCATGAACCCGCACGACGTCGGCGCCGCCAGAGACGGCCGCGGCGACGGTGGCGGCAGTGCCCCAGATGCGCTCTTCGGCCTTAGGGACGCCAGTGACGCGGCCGATGAAGCTCTTGCGGCTAGAGCCGATGAGCCAGGGAAAGCCCTCGAGGCCGGGCCAGGCCCGCAGCTCGGGCAGTCGGCTCAGGAGCTCGAGGTTCTGCTCGCCCACCTTGGCGAAGCCGAGGCCGGGGTCGAGCACAATGCGCCAGCGGCGGATACCAGCGGCCTCGGCCTCGGCGACGCGCTCAAGGAGCTCGCGGGCGACGGTGGGGATGAGGCCGTCGGGGTAGTCGTTCAGAGAAGACATGGTCTGTGGGGTGCCGCGCATGTGCATGAGGCAGACGGTGGCGCCAGCGCGAGCGACGAGGGGCAGCATGTCACGGTCTAGCTGGCCGGCGGATATGTCGTTGACAAAGTCGGCGCCTGCAGCGAGGGCAGCCTCGGCGACGGGGGCGCGGTACGTATCGATGCTGATGGGGAGGTGGGCGAGCTCAGGGATGGAGCGGACGAGACGGATGGCCGGAACGACGCGCGCGATCTCCTCCTCGGCCGACACGTCGGGGCGACCCGGGGCTGAGGACTGGCCGCCAATGTCGATCATGGTGGCACCGGCGGCGTGAGCGGCAAGGAGAGTGTCCGGCAGGGATGTCGAGGTGTGAACGCCGCCGTCTGAGAAAGAGTCGGGGGTGATGTTGACGATGGCCATGACATGTGTTTTGCGGGTCGGCGTGAGGGCCGTGATGAAGGGCGCCGGCGCCGGCGCGAGGGGCGTCAGGGGGGAAAGAGGCGGATGAGAGGGGGTGAGCTCATTGAGGTAGTCCTGGGTGAGCTTCCAGGGGTTTGAGGCGTAGAGCGGTTTGGCGGGGATGAGTCTAGATCATTGTCAGCCGCCGGTGTGTCTCTCTCTCTCCAGGCATGCTTGAGAATGATGCATTCTTGGGGGCAACGAGAGGGTTCAAGACATACTCGGCAAGTGGTCGCAGCACAAACTCCCTTTCGGGAATGCCGACGTGAGGGACGGTGAGACGGTCATGACTGATCGTCTCATCACCGTACAGAAGAATGTCGAGGTCGATGTTCCGGGGCCCCTTGTCGATGAACTTTTGTCGACCCAGCGTCCTCTCGATATCCTGCAGTACGTCCAGCAGGGCGAGGGGCTCCAACTTTGTCTCGACCTGTTCACAGAGTTGAGCAAACAGAGAATGATTTCACACACAGGGGGCCAGCTCTTCCAACAGCAGGCAGACGAACCTCACATGCTCCATTGACGAATCTATCTTGCTCTAGGACGTACATGGGCTCCGTCTCCCACAGGCTGCTGGTCCTCGTCACGCGGACACCGCGGTCATCCATCTCACGGCAGGCCTTTTCGATCCAGCCGACCCGGTCGCCGAGGTTGCTGCCGAGGGCAATGTAGGCCGTGACGGTCTTGGGCTCGGCGGGGCCGGCGGGGGTGCGACGGCCGCAGCCGCAGCCGGCGACGGGTCTGCCGTCGTCCTCCATGACGGGGCTGCTCGTCTTGATGTGCTTGGTCCTGCCGGGCTCAGGCGCCGCTGACGTGTCCGTGGTGGGGCCGAACGCGGCCGTGGTGGTAGTCGTCGTGTTTTTGGCTATTGGCCAGGCGTGCTTGGTGAAGTGGTGTCGACGGGGAGCGTGACGGCAGACGGCAATGGACACCTGGTGAGGGCAGCGGACATGGCGGAGCGCGGCTGACTGGGAGCAGCCCCTGTGCAGAGTGGAGGCAAAAGAGGTGAGTGATTTCATGGTCGACTCGCCTCACTTCTTGGATGGACCTCGACCTGCCTCTCAGCGCTTGATTTTTTTTTTCAGGGGGCGCAATTCGCTCGAGAATCTGCGATGTCTGAAGGGGATTGGATAATCGAATTGGGTTGATTGTTAACCGTGATAGTCAGCAATACGAGCTCGTGCATCTTAGTCATCTTTGGGTTGCCGTGTGCGGTTGCGGTGCCGGTGCCAGGTGGTGATCACCGGGTGCCAGTCGTCAAATGCCAGGTGCCAGGCACACTGGGTCTTTGCCTTTCCCTGGTCGATCCATGGGACGGGAGGAAAAGAAGCTTGATTTGAGAAGATGCAACATGGGCACTGCATTCTCGCCATGTTCTTCGAAAGAAGGTTTATCACGTCTCGTTTGCGTTTCCCCGCGCCGTTCGATCCTCGGGACCCCCCCTCCAGACCTCGAGACCTCCAAACTCCAAGCCTCCAGAACCAGGCCACGCGCACATTCGTCCCTCGGCAACTTTCCCCAGATCTCAACCGGGTTCACGCCATGCTGTTTGCGGCATAGCCCCAGAGATCACAGGTGAGCCTCGGCTCGGCTGAGGTCCAACTGTGGGGGAATGCATCAGGACAGAGCAGCGACCGCGGCCATCATTCGACACGAGTGCCGCGCCCGCCGTCCTGGTGACGCCCTTTAAACAGAAACCATCCTCCGAGATCCTTCCTCGTCTTTCTTTCCCGCCAACAACCACCTCTCTTTCCATTTTTCAACCCTCCTCCCTCATTCTTCTCAGCGATCCTCTCTGTCTTCATTGCACAGAGCCATCTTTGTTATTTGATCCTCCAGATACCCATCACCCATCTCTCGCCCCCCTCCCCCACCTCCAGAAAAGAAATCAGACACAATGGCGTCTCCTCGTAAGTGCCACACCCACTGTCACATGCGCGAGTTTGGCAAGATGGCCCAGAAACCCTTCGCCTCCCACCCTCTTGCGATGTAGAGCAACAAGATACAATGTCGAGCAAGAAGAACAGCGCGCTGACATGAGTTTCGCCCCCAACAGAGAAGATCCGCACCCCCATCACCGATCTTTTCAAGATCAACCACCCCATCCTGCTCGCCGGCATGAACGTCGCCGCTGGCCCCAAGCTGGCTGCCGCCGTCACCAACGCCGGCGGCATGGGTGTCATTGGTGGTGTCGGCTACACCCCCGAGATGCTCAAGGACCAGATCGCCGAGCTCAAGGAGCACCTGACAGACAAGAACGCTCCCTTCGGCGTCGACCTGCTGCTGCCCCAGGTTGGTGGCAGCGCGCGCAAGACCAAGTAAGCAATGCTCCCTCGCCGCTGACGCTTGGCACTGGCACGTGCCGGGCGCTCTCTCTCTCTCTCTCTCTCTCTCTCTCTCTCTCTTTCTTGCCCCCCCTCTCCACACCCCAGGCCATGGCGCAACCTCGCTGACCTCGCCCTTTCTCTCCAGCTACGACTACACCAAGGGCAAGCTCGACGGCCTCGTTGACATCATCATCGAGTCTGGCGCCAAGCTCTTCGTCTCTGCCGTTGGTGTGCCCCCCAAGCACGTCGTCGACAGGCTCCACGCCGCCGGCATTGTCTACATGAACATGATCGGCCACCCCAAGCACGTCAAGAAGTGCCTGGAGCTCGGCGTCGACATCATCTGCGCCCAGGGTGGCGAGGGTGGCGGCCACACCGGTGACGTCCCCACGACCGTCCTCATCCCCGCCGTTGTCGACCTCGTCAAGGGCCACAAGTCCCCCGTCA